TGGTGGCGCATGCCTGTAGTCCCAGCTACTCGGGAGGCTGAGGCAGGAGGATCGCTCAAGCCCAGGAGTTGGAGGTTTCTGTGAGCGAGGCTGATGCCATGGCACTCACTCCAGCCCGGGCAACAGAGTGAGACTCTGTCTCAAAAAAAAAAAGGAAGAACGAAAAGGAACTTGCTTCTTCTCTTGCCGTGTGTGTCTGTGTGTGCAGCGTGGCACACCTGTGCCGTGGCTGGATTGAGCTGCTCCCCATGCATACGCGTCACTTATTGCCCTTTTCCTGGTGAGAACACTCAAAATCTGCTCTCTCCATATCCAAGGGGACAATCCACTGCTAGTGACCCTCACCACATGGTGACAGCCCGGTCCCCCTGCTCCACGAGCTCAGCTCTCGGGTCACACAGACCTGCGATGGTGCCCGTGGCCCCACTGAACACGAGGTCACCCACGTTGTCACGGATGATAACATTTCCTTCTTTTTTGAGGCTGCTGGAGGCCTGAGCAGCCTCCCGCGCTGAGAGGAAGGGTCCGGGCAGAGGCACAGGCCGGGGCGGGGCTGGGAGGGCCGTGGGCAAACTGTCTCCTGTGGCCGCAGGTGGCTCAGAGCGGGACGGAGAGGCTGGGGCTGGCTGTCGGGCCGTGGCCCAGCCTTGCGCTTCTCGGGGTGACACTGGGCCAGTCCACCCTGCTCCAAGGTGGTGGCCGCCACAGTCTAACAGTGTGTGCAAAATGGAAGGGCTCCTGGAACAAGCTGAGTTCCCACTGGGAAGGGAGGGAGGGCGAGGGGGAGAGAGTGAGGGAGGGGGAGAGAGTGAGGGAGGGGAAGAGAGGGAAGGAGGGAGGGAGAGGGAGGAAGAGGGAGGGGAGAGGGGGAGTGACGTGGCCCGATTACAGGATGGGGGAAGACACTGAACATAAAATAACGACACAGACACACATGGACATGACAATGACTTGAGTGACCAATGCACCGGTCGCTTTATTTTTACACCCCCCAGACCCAAGGTTAGTTCCTTGTACGTGACCATCTGAGCATAGCAGCGATATCAGTCAATTCCGGAGTTGTATCAAAAGGGAACAATTGCCCATGGTCTCAGACCTCAAAATGGTTACTAAAGTTAAGGTGCCGGACAGAGCTCAAAAGCCAAGGCCGAGACAGGCAACATAAAACAACGCAGCCATCTGAAGTGCTTCTTGGTCTCAATCCCAGGCGGCGGCTCCTCCCTGGCCCCCACAGCTGTGCCTGTCTTAGGTCGCCCCACACACGGGGAGTCTTACCCGTCATTGACTACCAACCATCCATCGGGGGCCAGTTCTTGGGAGAGTTCTTCTTGTTCTTGTTCTCATGGCCTCCAGACTCCCACCGCGGGGGCCCTCCGTGTGGGAGACGGGAGCATTTGCTTACATGCAACAACTCAGGCCTCT